GGGTAATATTTTTTGCGTAATTTTTTTATTGAAGTATAATTAACATACACTGTTATACTAGCTTCAAGTGTACAACAATTGATTCAACAATTCTATACATTACATAGTACTCATGGTAAGCGTAGTTATCATCTGTTACCAAACATTATTATAATCTTATTGACTATATTCCCTATTCAAGTGTCCACTGATAGATGAATGGATAAAGAAGATGTGGTATATATACACAATGGAATATTAATCAACCATAAAAAAAATGAGATCTTGCCATTTGTGACAACATGGATGAACCTAGAAGATATTGTGCTAGGTGAAGTAAGTTGGCCAAAAAAAGACAAATAGCGTATGACTTCACTTATATGTGGAATTTAGCCTCATTTTATTGAAAAAAGCTGTGGTTTTAAGATGAGATAATCTGTTCATGGACACATGGCAAATAAGCAGCAGAACAGATTCAACTCAGGGAGGCTACCTCTAGAAAGTATATTCTTAATCAATATGCTAAACTGATAAATGTTAAATATTATAGTATAGAATTATCTCCTCCTTTGATACAAACTCTATTTGATACCTTTGTTGAATCTCTATATATTACACAGTTGAGGGCTTACTGGTATTTCTTAGATTAAATTTGTTAAGTGGGATCAGATTCTTCTACTATAAAATTTATTTCCATATTATTCTGTACTTAGCCTGTGGATGAATGAAGCATGAAGGTGAACTCATGTTGATAAAAATATCTTACATTCATTATGTGTCTGTTATGAATAGACACATTTTACATGTATTATATTATTTAATCCTAGAACATAGTAGGTGTTCTATAAACCTTATTTCCATTATAACACCAAATATTATGAGTAAATGGTCCATTTAGGAAAAGTATTCCTTTTTACATATTGTATTGAAAGATTTCTCTTGTGTATTTAATTTCATTAATAAAAATGTATGCTTGATGTGTACAACATGATTTGATAGACATACACATATTGAAATGATCACTACAGCCAAGCTAATTAACATATCTTCTCACATAGGTACCTTTTTTTCTTTCTTGGTGATGAGAGCATCTGAAATCTACTCCCTTAGCAAATTTCCAGTATTCAATATAGCATTATTAACTATAGTCAGCATGTGGTACATTAGATCTCTAGGTTACAGTAGATTGCATTCATTCTATATAACTGCAACTCTGTGCCCTTTGACCAACATGTCCCTATTTCTCCCACCTCCCCACCTCTGGTTACCTCTATTCTATTCTCTGCCTTTATGTATTTCATTTTTTTTTAGATTTCACACATAAGCGAGATCATTCTGTTATTTTCTTTTTGTGTCTGGTTTATTTCACTTAGCATAATATCCTTCATGTTCATCCATGTTGCTGCAAATGGCAGGATCCCCCTTTTTTTTTTGAAGGCTGAATAATATTCTATTGTATATTGTATATATATGTATATTATATATATATCTTATAATTTCTTTATTCTTTCATCTGTTGATGGACACTTCCCTGTGTGTTGTTTGATTTTCTTTGTTTTTATTTTGAACAGTAAAAGAAATAATGAAATATTTTCAAACTTCCTTCATGCAAATTTGAACTACAAGAATGTCGTTTTGTTTTTCTCTCAACCACAGTTGTGCAGGTTTTCAAACGTCTGTGTGGAGCTCAACCAGTTTATTGTATCTTTATATCTTTCATGGTATTGAGCCCCAAGTAGTCGAACAGCAAAATTCCTGAGTTAATTCATGCAAAGAAAATGTTTAATAGCAAGTTACACAGGAAGAATAGTGGTGACCTTATCTTTTAATGTTACCCATTTTCAGTTCAGAGCCAAATTTGAAGATCCTCTTCCCGCCAAAAACAAGTGGGATAACCCCCTGTCCGTCACACAGTAGAGCAGAATACTGCTCCTGCCGAACATAGGCAGCTAGCCAGAGAATAAAGAGAAAAGGACCTATTCAGTTATGCAAGAGAAAGCAGAAATCATTCCTGTGGAGAAAAGTAATTGGTTGCAGACATTTAGTAGAGGTATAGGAAGGGTTATGAGAATTCTCATACTTAAAGTTAGCAGATAGAGAATGAGGCTGAATATTTTCTGCAATTAGTAATAGGTATCTGATGCAAGGAAACAATCATCCCATTCCAGATTAGACTGGGTCAGTAATGAAGTAAGGCCAGAGTCAGCCAAAAGGGAATGAAGGAGCAAAATCCAGAGTAGGCTAGAATAGACAATGTTGTCTTAGTCAAGCACGTTAGGAGTTTTTCTAGTTCATTAGGTTAAATGTACAAGTTAATCTTCATTTATTTAATCATTCACCAAATATTTTCTGAGCACCTAATCTGTACCAGCCCCTGGATGACATGCTGGAGAGAAATGGAACAAAACAGATATGGTCTTTCCTTTTTGCAGATTATAGGCTAATGAAGGAGGCAGATTAAGGAAATAATCAAAATATAAATGTGAAATCACACTGTGAAAAGTCCTCCCATCATAGGACATTCAGTCCTGCTGGCCCCTCCACCTGGAAACATGTTCTCTCTTTCATCCTTTACACGTGGTTGCCCAACTCTTGCCTTCCAAATAAAGCCCTCCCCTATCATCCTGTTAATATTATAACTGCCACCCCAACTGCCTTCACTGGCACTCCCAATTCCTTTGCCCTACACCTTTTTTTTCATAGAATTTATCATCTCTTAACATACTAATGTACACATTTATTGGTACTGTCTCTCTACTGGTAGAATATAAGTTTCTTAAGAGCAGGGACCTCTGTTTGTTTTATTCATATTCCAAGTACCTAGAACAGTGTCTGACACATAGGAGGTGCTCAGTATTAAGTGAATAAATGAAGCTATGAGAGTCTATCAAAACAGCGGTCAAAGTGGCTATAGATTGCTATAGTGGACTTAACTCCACTGTAAAATGTATATTGTTTTCATATAATTGACTCAGATTTTTCTGTTTTCTCAAATTAATTCATGAAGTCCCAAGAGTTATTAAAAGGAAAGAAAGAAAACAAGAAGGTGGCAAGTCCTCTTGCTCTTCATTTTAATTCTGTTACTAAGACTGTGCCAACCAGGAGAGTGACATCCTTGCAGAATGTTGCCTTAATGTGATTTATTTTTATCTGATCTATTTGTATACACACTTAACATGATATACCTAGACATGTGTGACATGGGTTAGCATGCATTATTTTCATGACATATCACAGTACTTTCTTGGCTTCTGGTTTCTCAAATCTTTTCCATTCTTTGTCTTTAAACATATATAATTTTATTGCAATGCTTACTTACTTGATCCTCTCCATGATTATTTCCACAAAAACTGTAATTTATGTAACATTTCCATGGTTTACAGAGAAGAATAATTGAAATTATAATTGTCCTGGAGAATCTAGGTTACATGGCTACAATCCCTGCAAGGGATCTTCAGCATACAGTGAGGCATTGATTATGTGCCAGCATCTGGAGATTTAAAAATGAGAGGACACAGAGGATCTTCAAGGAGTTGTTTGGCTCTATTAGCCTTGGAATTGAGTCATTAGAGATGGTTCACGGCAGCCTAAATTCTGGGCCAATCATGTGTAAGTGTTGTCATAATTTAAAGAGCCAGTGGAGCTAAAATTTTCTTGTTAATGGTGTTCCCCCCCGCCTTTTTCTAGTGGCCCCCTCAGAACTTACCAGAATTCTCTGGAGAAACCAAATCTATGTGTAACTAGCTATCTTTATTCACAAATCTGGGGGTTCATTGTGATGGGTTTCATTAGAAACCTCTGTCCTCCACCCTCAGACAATTAATAAGGAAGCCTTCTAGTCTTAGATGCAAGGAGAGTTGTCATTGTTCCAAGAAGCTTTTTAGGTTCAGTGGTTCAGCACGGTTGGGGCACGTGGGGGGGTGTGGTACTAGAGGAATGAAAGGCAAGGTAACAAGGAGCCAGATCAGAAGGGAAGGTCATTCTACGTTGGGAAGTCTGAACTTCATCCTGAGGGCATAAGCGTTCTATTTCTTTATTTTTAAATCAGGGAAATGGTATAATCAGATTAGCGTATGTGCAGAATCACTATGGATTCAGTATGAAGAGAGGACTGGCAGGATGGCAGGATGAGATCCAGGACAATCTAGTTGACGAAGGTGGTGACCTGGAATTAGACAAATGGCAACGGAGAGGAGGTCCAGAAATGGCCTTGAAGTGGGGTGGGCAGAGGAACTGGAGAAGGAACAACAAGAGATGAACCCATATTTCTGGCTTACACACGTGTCACTCTGAGGACGAGCACCTCGTTCGGGGAAGAGGGGATGAATTCATCTGTGGACACACTGAGTTTTGCTACCTGTGGGCCATCAAAAATATTACCTGTTTTAAACAGTTAGGTATGTGTCTCTGGAGCTCAAGAGAGATACGAGGATGGAGGCAAAGATTTGGCATTTCTTAGCACTTAGATGTAAATTAGAGCTGTACTTGTAAATAAGATTTACCAGGGAGGAGGTGTGGAATGAGGAGAAAAGAGAGACAATACTGTGGTTTACTACTACCGGGATATGCAGAGAATAAGATCCTGTAAATGACACTGAGATGGAGTTGCCAGAGAGAAAGAGGAAAACCACATTCATAAGTGATGGACCCATGGTAGCTTCCATCATCTATGTGGATCCTGAAGCTCTCCAGGGCAAGAGCAGAGTGGGGATGAAGACAGTTACTGCTTGGTCTTTAATGATCAGGTAACAGTAGATGATGTGACTGATGGTGACTAGGAGGGGAGAGTGACTAGATGACAGGACGCCACATCCTTCACAGTGATAAGAACAGGGTTTGGGATGGGAGAGAATGAGAATTCTTCCTTTGAGAAGTTTGCAGGAGAAACAAGATTTTGAGAGGAGTGCAGCAGACTGAATGTTTGTGTTCCCCAGAATTCAAATGTTGAAACGTAATACCCAGTGTGGCTGTGTTAGGAGGTGGGGGCCTTTGGGATGTGATTAGGTCATGAGGGTGGACGCACCAGAGGGCACCCTCACTTCTGCTAACACACAGCAAGACACCATCTATGAATCAGGAAGCAGGTCCTTTCAGGAGAATCGCCAACACTTGGATCTTGGACTTAGCCTCCAAAACGGTGAGAAACAGAGTTCTGTTGTTTACAAGCCATCCAGTCTATAGTACTCTAGCAGCCTGAAATGGCTGAAACAAGTTTAACTTATGGCAGGAGAGGGATGAAGGAAACAGTGAAAAGCCTGTGGATATAGAGGGATTTTATAACTCAACTGAGGATTCTAGGGGGCACAGTGGAAAGTTTTGGGACCGAGGGGAGAAACGGTGGCTGTGTTCAGGGAAAGCAGCACAGAGTATTATGAGCTGGTGATATGGTTAAAGATAGCAAATAAGAAGTCTTTCCTTGGGTGCTTAGAAAGACAGCAGAGATTTGAGATGGGTGGGTTTAACTGTTAGGTTTCTTAGAAGTCATCTTTGGCCAAAAGATGGCCCTAGTTTTTGATGGATGAGTAGATCTTGAAGCAGAATAAGTGACCCAAGGTCTGAGGTGACGGCATGTGTTATGTGAGTTACACAATTTTCTGCAGAGTGGCCAAGCATATTGGGTTCTATGTGCTAAACTTTGTTCTATATGAAACAGTCTTCACTCCCATTTTCAGATCACAGTTTGAGACCTGAAGCCTCTTTGGTCCCCAAATCATAGTTATATTCCTCCTTTTAAATGTTCCTATAGCATTATATAATTTCCTGATCATAGCACTGGCTAAAGTATAGTATTGCCAGTTTATATAGCTAGATCCCCCATTAGGCCATACTCTTAAAGGACAAGTACTTTCTGACCTACTGTATTTCCAGAAACTTGGCTAGGTGAGTGAAATATTTACCTACACACACAGAGAGAGAGTGTGTGGGTAGGGCTGGTATATCCTGTGGGTTTTGTACCTTCTGTCTGAGGAAACCGTTTGTGCCTGTACTCAGGGGAGGGGCTGCTCTGTTTTAGGATGGAGCTTTCCAGCCTTCAGTGTACAGGGGGATGTGTGGCAACAGAGGGCTTGTCATCAGCTCACACCGATTATGGCCGAAAGAGGGCAGCAGAGAGTCACAGACCAGAGGCGATTTGGCGTGGTGCAGAGAAGGGTGTGAGAGAATACAAAATCCGGAGCGAGTTTGGGATGCCAGGGTTAAGGTGGTGCTCTTTACAAAAGTTAGAACAATGAGGGGAGGTTTAGCAGGGAGAGAGCTGGTAAATCCCCAGGTCTAAAGAAGATATTTAAAAAGACTCAAAACCAGGGGATGAAGCGGGAAGTAGTGAGGTATTTCCTTCTTGGTTTGGAAGGCAATTTGAACTAATTGTGTTTTTACTGAGAAGAACATCCTTTGATGTCGGGGTGTTGACCTATTTTTATTGATTTTGAGAGGCGTTCTCTGTGCCTCCTGGAGTTTGATGCCTGTTTCCTTCCCCAAATTAGGGAAGTTCTCTGTTATAATTTGCGCCAATATACCTTCTGCCCCTGTCTCTCTTTCTTTTTCTTCTCGGATCCCAATTATTCTAATGTTGTTTTGTCTTATGGTATCGCTTATCTCTCGAATTCTGCCCTCGTGATCCAGTAGTTGTTTATCTCTCTTTTTCTCAGCTTCTTTATTTTCCATCATTTGGGTTAGCCTGGTGATGGGTATTAAAGAGGGCACGTTCTGCATGGAGCACTGGGTGTTATGCACAAACAATGAATCATGGAACACTACATCAAAAACTAATGATGTAATGTATGGTGATTAACATAACATAACATAACATAACATAACATAATAATAATAATAATAAAAGAAGAACATCCTTTGAAACCCAGACCAGACTCTGGAAGTGAGGCCTCTCAGTCCTAGGAAGGAGTGAAGGGATGGAGAGGCTTCACTGAGTGAAGGGAAGCCACAGATGTCCAAGAGAGATGCTTCTAGTAAATGCTCTTAGAGGCAGATCAGATCCATCTGTTCTGAACGGCCCAAAGGGAGAAAAGGGGGACTAATGAGTAGGAATGAAAGGGAGACTGATTTCCATTGAAAATGAGAACTTTCTTCTCTAGCCTTGTCTCATGCCACTCTCCCTCCTTATCTGCCAGGCCAGAGCCACACTAGCTCTGTTTCTGTTCCTTAAGCATACCCAGACATTTCGGGTTCCTCATTACCAACACCGATGTATTTTCATCATCCCTAAGATCTTGACTTAACTGTCATTTCTCAAGAAACTCCCTCTCTGACTATCCTCCGCTATTCTCTATCATAGCCTCGTGCTCCCTCCCTTTTGAACCCATTACTACTTATCAGTAGGCATCATTAATTTCTCTCTTGGTTATTGTCTGTCTTCCCCTGAGGGGCAAGACCATGAGTGTTTGACTCCCACAACACAACAATTGTGTAACCAGCACCTCGTATAATATCCAACTGATGGGCAGTAGTTTAAGATACATTGGCTGGGCACATACACTGAATAGGTTGCCTTTGGAGGGAGGGAGTTGCCCATCACAGAATGTATTTGAAATGAACTAGACATCACTGTTGGCTGAGATGTTGTATACAGGATTCCAGGATCAGATGGATTTTTACATAAAAGTGACATTTGAAGATCCTTTCTGTCATTCTATTCTATTATTCCAAGAAATGAAGAGTGTAAAATTAATGACTCTAAAATGAAGGCAATAATGAGCCCATTGCTCATCAATATGAAAAGGAAAGAAAATAAATGTGGCTGATTAGAGAGTAATGAAGATCTTGCCAAACCATTAATAAAAATGTAATTTGTAAGAAATCTGGACCTTAAGTAAGTCAGACTGGGATAAGTTCCTAGGGAAATACTTAGGGACTAATACAAAGACAGATCTATTGTAACTACCTACTATTCTCTTTGTGTCTTTAATAACTAGCACGGTATATGGCATATGGTAAATGAACAATAAATATTTGCTGAATAAATAAATAAGGGAACTTTTAGAAACCATACCACAGTACTCTTTCATAAAAATGTACAGTCTGCATGGGATCTTTCCTTGCTTGGTATGATTTGCCCATTTACACCTTAACACCTTCCAACAGGTAATATACTTATGACATGTCATTAAATGAAGATAAAATGATGCCTCCACGAAGATAGTCACGTTCCTCACTGCTGAGTGTTGATGTAGGACCAAATTATTGCTAAAAACACTTTCAGTTTTCTGAAATTGCCTGTGAGGTGCTGTTATATTTTTGTCAAAATTGACATTTAAATAAATGCAATAACAACTAATGCTCATTAAGATAGTAGACATGATCTGGATAATTAACGTTTCTTCAAGTTTTTTTAGCACACTTATATCACCGAGAATCAAATATTAATACCGATTAAACATGTCCTTATTTTCATATTAACTATTGTGGTGGACAGACTTTAAGGTGGCCTCCATGACCCCCAACGTTTAGTGTTCATGTGCTTGTGTGATCCCTGCACCTTGAGTGTGGGTGGGATCTGTGACTTGTTTCTAACTAACAGAGTAGGACAAAGGTGATGGGATGTCACTCCTGTGATTGCTACAGTATATAGGATGCCATCTTGCTAGTAGACTTGCTCTAGGGCCTATTAGTACCAAACTACTTAATAAACAGGAATGTTCGGTGTTTCTTTTGACTTAGGGGGTGACATTTTTTCAGAAGACACGAAGGGTGTTAGGAATTGAGAAAATTTGGAAACGTCACACAGTGCTTAGATAACAACCCTTCACAATGACCCTTTAGGATTTGTATCTCTAATAATATACTTTGTAAACAAACAGATTAATCTTCTGGCCATTTGAAAATTAAAAGGGTTGTTGTTGACTAAGTGGGGATACTATTAAAAATGTCACCACTGGTAGCAAAAAGTAGGCAAATGGGACTGCATCAAACTTAAAAACTTTTGGGCATCACAGGACACATCAACAGAGTGAAAAAGCAACCTACAGAATGGGAGAAAATATCTACATATTATATATCTGATAAGGAGTTAATATCCAAATACACCAAGAATTCTTACACCATAAAAACAAAACAAAAAAATCAGATAACCTGATTATAAATACATATTTTCTAGGAAATTGGGTTGAACATTGCTTGTCTGTCTTCCAGCTGTAGATTTTGAGAATAGAACCCAACTGTCACATAAATAATAAAGTGATTGAAGCTGAAGGCAAAATGCAAACTTTCTCTAATGACAAGAATTAAATTTAATCTTACCTTGCTTGAAGATGACTAAAGAGAAAAATATAAACATATGAATGAATAAAGCAGAACAAAAGAAAGGGAACAGCATCCTGAAGACTCAGACAAAAGTATACTTCTGAAAATTTGTACTGTGGGACATAGACGATTGTTTGGTATTTCCAAAATGATGCAAGAATATAGGGTCAAGAAAAAAAGGAAGTCAAAATGGTAAATAGGTTTAGATAAAAAGAGAGATTGAGGAAATAAGGAATGTTTATCTAGGATTTAAAACTATAATGCATTATTTAAAAACAAAAACTAAAATGCATTATTGACAAGAAAAAGCAAGATAAACAATATGAAAAAAATCATATCAATCATGGGTGGATAAAACTGAAACACTCTACCTGAAGGCAGACACGAAGAAAAAGAGTTAACAACAATGAGAGCCAATGAGTGGAGAGGAGCAGAAACAAAGTTCAAATTGGAATATGTAAATCATTCAGATAAACATCAACATATCCAACTTTCATATTTGAAGATAAATACCATGTAGCTTTCTGCTCACTTTTTACCCAGTGCCTTGGAGAGTTCAAATAATCATTTGTTGAAGAAAGTGGAATAACTTAAACAAACTAGTTATTTGAAAATTATTAAAGATAAACATTTCTAACTTAATAGACAACTAGCAAACTTTGTGTGCCACAGAGAATATATTTTCTTTTTAAAATTCCATAGAACATGTGCAAACCTTTCCTTAAATTAGGCTATAAAAGGCATCAATTAACTCTCCGAACCAGCAAATGAAAGGTCATATTCTTTGATCAAAATGGGCTAAAATTTGAAATTAATATAAGTTAATATACCCCCCATGTAAACTCAAACCTATCTTTGTGGGAATTGAAAAAAAAAGACATT